GCCCCGCCAGCCGCCGCAGCTCCACCTCCACCTCCGCCACCTCGATCCTGCCGAGACGTGTGGATCACCTGTCCCCCACCGCTCCACTCCGCTCCACCGTGCCCCCCGCAGCCGAGTCCCCCCCTGCCCCTCCGCTCCCCCCCCCGGCCGGTGCCATGCCATGGGGCAGGGTCCCTGCTCGGCCCCGGGACGCGGGGATGCCCTCACCGCGAGGCTGGGCCCACGTGCCGCAGCTTGCCAGGGAAGTCCAGCAGGTTCTTGTCCACCCTGGCCGCCTCCTGCAGAGGAGAGGGGCAGCGAGCAGCCCCCGCCGGGCCGCGGGGCATCCCCAGGGCCCCGGCAGAGCCGCCTGCGCGGCAGAGCCGGAGCTCGGGGGAGCGGCAGAGGTAACTCCCCGTCTGCCTGGCGGGGCTGGGGGCCAGCCCAGAGCACGCGTCCCCATGTCCCCGGCCAGACGTGCTGGCAGGTCACTGCGGGAGTGACTTGAACCAACACCCGCGACCAAACGCCCAGGAAGGAGAGAAACACCCTCGAAGGCACACAGGGCTTGGGGGGGGCTACGGCCGCGGTGTCAGGAGTGTCCAGACCCAGCCGAGGAGGGACAAACCAGTGCCGAGGGCAGGAGGAAGAGGAGGCAGCAGCGTCGGCTCCCCGCAGGCAGAAGCACAGCTGCCACCGGGCAGAGCAGGGGCGAGCGCGGGAAAAACTGCACCGAAGCTCGTCTGCCGGGGACAACAGCCTCCCCCGCACGCAGACGGGGCGCATCCCTGCCGGGGCCATGCAGGCAGCGACCTTGCACAGGACAGGGGAGGGAGCTGGGGCTCCCCGGGGACACGCAGGTGCCCACAGCCACGGGGATGCCCCGGCGAGCCCCACTCCGGCTGCACCCTGTGGCTCCCGGGCAGTGGGAGGCAGCCGGGATGGCCCGGCAGTGGCACGCCAGCCAGAGGGAACAGCGTGCGTGGCCGGGCTGGCCCAGGGCCTTCAGCGGCCGGGGGGCAGAGGAGCTGCCACAGGGCCCCGCGCCTGCCGGGGCTCGGCTGGGCCACGCTCCCTGTGCGGGCTGGCAGCCGCAGCCCAGGACGGAGCCAGGCACCCACGTGCCAGCTGCTGCCCAGAGAAGGGCCACGGGGACGGCGGGTGCTGCCATGGGGACGATGGGCAGGGGACCAGGACGAGGCCCTGCCCGTTGCAGCCACGTCTGGAGCAGCCCCAAGGGCCAGGGGGAGGAACGAGGGGGTGTACAGGGACCACCTTCCGTTTAGGAACCCCGTCAGGGAAAAGCCCGCTGCAGGCACGGCCCCAACGCTCTGCCAAGAATGAGCCACCCCCCCAGTAAACCCGGCGCCGGCCCCCAGCAGTGCTGGGAAGCCAGGCGCCACGGCCC